GTCAAGATCATTTCCCTTCACAAAAGGAACAAAAAGAAAGGGTGATCACATGTCAGGCCTGGACTCTCACTTCCCCACGTGAAGCTTCTGGCCCCTGCGGCGGTCTTCGGACCATGAAGAGGAGGCCCCTGGAGGGTTAAATTGACTAAATTAATCAGCAGATATCTGCAAGAGGGCGCTCCTGAGGGTGCCTTCACCACCAGATTCAGCTGCACTTTCTGCAGAGATTTTCCATGAAAGCCGGTTTGGGAAAAAAAAGTATTTCTTTTTTTTTTTTTTTTTTTGAGACAGAGTCTCACTTGTCACCTAGGCTGGAGTGTATTAGTGTGATCTCAGCTCACCGCAGCCTCTGCCTCTCAAGTTCAAGTGATTCTCATGCCTCAGCCTCTCCAGTAGCTGGGACTACAGGCTCAAGCCACTACACCAGTCTAATTTTTGTGTTTTTAGTAGACATGGGGTTTCACCATGTCGCCCAGGCTGGTTTTGAACTCCTAGCCTCAAATGATCCACCCTCCTCAGCCTCCCAAAGTGCTGGAATTATAAGCATGAGCCAGGCCTTAAAAAAAAAAAAAAAAAAAAAGGTATCTTTCCCCCCTAAAAAAGGGAGTTCTCTCCCGGTGCAGTGGCCCACACCTGTAATCCCAGCACTTCGGGAGGCCAAGGTGGGTGGATCACCTCAGGTGAGGCGTTAGAGACCAGCCTGGCCAATATGGTGAAACCCCATCTCTACTAAAAATACAAAATTTAACCAGGTGTGGTGGTGTGTGTCTGTAATCCCAGCTACTCAGGAGGCTAAGTTAGGAGAATCACTTGAACTCAGGGAGCAGAGGTTGCAGTGAGCCAAGATTGCGCCACTGCACTCCAGCCTGCGTGACAGAGTGAGGCTTCATCTCAAATAAATCAATGAATCAATGAAAGAATGAATGAGAGTTCTCATGAAGTTTTCAAAGAGGCACAGATGAGAAAATAATTGTTGGTGTCTGGGCAGCGCTGGGCAGGGGAAGACGTCCTGATTCTAGAAGCCTGCTGCCATTTGTCTAGACCAGCATTGTCAGCCTCAGCACTCCTGACGCTGGAGGCCGGATGATTCTTCGCGGTGGGGCTAACGCGCGCCGCAGGCTGTTTAGCGGCATCCTTGGCCTCCACCCACTAAACGCCGGCGGCAAGCCCTGTCTTTTTTTGTTTTTGTAGAGACGGGGTCTTGCTGTGTGGCCCAAGCTAGGAGTTTACCTCCCAATCTTTTTCTTTTTCTTTTCTTTTTTTTTTTGAGACGGAGTTTCGCTCTTGTTACCCAGGCTGGAGTGCAATGGCGCGATCTCGGCTCACCGCAACCTCCGCCTCCTGGGTTCAGGCAATTCTCCTGCCTCAGCCTCCCGAGTAGCCGGGACTACAGGCACGCGCCACCGTGCCCAGCTAATTTTTTGTATTTTTAGTAGAGATGGGGTTTCACCATGTTGACCAGGATGGTCTCGATCTCTTGACCTCGTGATCCACCTGCCTCGGCCTCCCAAAGTGCTGGGATTACAGGCTTGAGCCACCGCGCCCGGCCCTACCTCCCAATCTTGACAACCAAAAATGTCCCCAGACTCAAAGCTGCCCTGGAGGCAGAATGCCCCTGGTTGAGAGTTACTGGTCTGGAATGGGACGTGCTTAGTGGTCACACACTCCAGTTTGTTCGAGGCCTCTGCTCAATCAGCAGTTCCCTGACTGCGGGGTGGTTTCCAGAGCAGGCAGGCCCAGCAGAGCAAAGGCAACTCATGACATCTATGATGTTCAGATTTCATAGGCCCTTCTTCTACCCCTCCCCCAAGCACTGCCCAACCACACACTATTCTTTTTTTCTTTTTAATTTTTCTTTTGATTAAATAGGGGTGGGGTCTCACTATGTTGCCCAGGCTGGTCTGGAACCCCTGGGTTTAAGCATTCCTCCTGCCTCAGCCTCCCAAAGTTGGTATTACAGGCCTGAGCTACTGTGCCCAGCCAATACACACTATTCTCTTTCTTCCCTCCTTCCTCCTTCTTCTCTTCCTTCTTCCTTCCTTCCTTCTCTTTTCTTTTTTTTTTTTTTAAGATGGATGAGATAGAGTCTGGCTCTGTCCCAGGCTGGAGTATAATGGCGAGATCTCATCTCACTGCAACCTCTGCCTCCCAGGTTCAATCGACTCTCCTGCCTCAGCCTCCCCAGCATCTGGGATTACAGGCGCATGACACCACACCTGGCTAATTTTCTGTACTTTTAGTAGAAACAGAGTTTCACCATGTTAGCCAGGCTGGTCTTGAACTCCTGACCTCAGGTGATCCGCCCAGCTTGGCCTCCCAAAGTGCTGGGATTACAGGTGTGAGCCACCGTGCCCGGCCTACACACTGTTCTTGAAATGCAAACAGGCCCCCACCATTGGTATAATACAACCCTCTCCCTCAAACCCCTATTCCAGAAACATTAAAAAAAAATTTGTTTTTCTTTTTTAAAATAAAGACGGGGTTTCACCATGTTGGTCAGGCTGGTCTTGAACTCCTGGCCCCAGGTGATTGCCCGCCTTGGCCTCCAAAGTGCTTGGATTACAGGTGTGAGCCACCATGCCCAGCCTCCAAAAACATTTTTGTTTAATTCTGACTACTGTCTTAAAGAGTCAGTAATGACAAGGCAGAGTGGCTTATATCTGTAATCCCAGCACTTTGGGAGGCCCACCTCAGGTGGGTGGATCACCTGAGGTCAAGAGTTTGAGACCAGCCTGACCAAGATGATGAAACCCCATCTCTGCTAAAAATACAAAAATTAGCGAGGTGTGGTGGCAAGTGCCTGTAGTCCCTGCTACTTGGGAGGCTGAGACATGAGAATCAGGCTTGAACCCAGGAGGTGGAGGTTGCAGTGAGCTGAGATGGTGCTACTGCACTCCAGCCTGGGCGACAGAATAAGAGTCTGTCTCTAAACAAATAAAAGTGGGCCAGGTGCAGTGTCTCACACCTGTAATCCCAGAACTTTGGGAGGCCAAGGCGGGCCAATCACCTGAGGTCAAGAGTTCGAGACCAGTTTGGCCAACATGGTAAAACCCCATGTCTAGTAAAAATACAAACATTAAGCCGGGCGCAGTGGCTCACGCCTGTAATCCCAGCACTTTGGGAGGCCGAGGCGGGTGGATCACGAGGTCAAGAGATCAAGGCCATCCTGGTCAACACGGTGAAACCCCGTCTCTACTAAAACTACAAAAAATTAGCTGGGCATGGTGGCGCGTGCCTGTAATCCCAGCTACTCAGGAGGCTGAGGCAGGAGAATTGCCTGAACCCAGGAGGCGGAGGTTGCGGTGAGCCAAGATCACGCCATTGTACTCCAGCCTGGGTAACAAGAGCGAAACTCTGTCTCAAAAAAAAAAAAAAAATACACACATTAGCTGGGCGTGGTGGCAGGCGCCTATAATCCCAGCTACTCTGGAAGCTGAGGCACGAGAATCCTTGAACCTGGAAGGCGACAGTGCAAGACTCTATCTCAGAAAAAAAAAAGTGGTAATTCAGCAGCATGTAGTGCATTCACAATACAATGTTGCGTGACCACCACACTATCTAGTTCCCAGAGATTTTCATCACCCCGAAAGGAAACCCTGCACCCATCAGGCTTACTCTCCATTTCCCCCTCGCCTGGGCCCCAGTAACCAGTCTGCTTTCTGCCTCTGCGGCTCTTCCTGTTCTGAGCTTTGCACACATGGAGTCAGGCAAGGGCTGCCCTTCGCGTCTGCCCTTTTGTTTAGCGGAATGCTGTACGCATCCCTGCCGCAGCCTGCATCTGTGCTCATTTCTTTCTAAGGCTGAGTAAGATTCCTTATATGGATCAACCCCATTTACCTACCCATTTGTCCGTTGACAGACATTTGGGCCATTTCCACCGTTTGGCTGCGGTGAATCACGCTGCCGTGAACGTGTGTGTGCAGGTATCTGTTCGATCCCTGTTTTCTATCCTTTGGTATATGTCTAGGAGAGGAATTGCTGGGTTGTATGGTAAGTCGGTTTAACTTTTTGAGGAAGGACTAAACCAGTATTTTCTTTCTTTTTTTTTTTCTTTGAGGTCTACTGGTTTATTTATTTATTTTTAGCTTTTAGGTTCAGGGGTGCACGTGCAGGTTTGTTTATATAAGTAAATTGCATGTTACGGGGGTAATGTTCCACCATCCAGGTAATCGGCATAGTACCCCTGATAGGTAGTTTTATTTTTTGAGACAGAGTCTTGCTCGCTGCCCAGGCTGGAGTGCAGGGTCATGATCTTGGCTCAATGCAACCTCACCTCCCAGGTTCAAGCGATTCTCCTGCCTCAGCCTCCCGAATAGCTGGGACTACTGTTGCACACCAGCACGCCTGGCTAATTTTTGTATTTTTAGTAGAAACAGGGTTTTGCCATGCTGGCCAGGCTAGTCTCAAACTCCTGACCTCAAGTGACCCATCTGCCTGGGCTTCTCAAAGTGCTGGGATTACAGGTGTGAGGCACCGCCCACAACCAGTTAGGTCAGTCTTTGATCTTCATGCTCCTTCCCATCTCTGCCTTAAGTAGGCGTGGGTGTCTGCTGCTCCCTTCTTTGTGTCCATATGTACTCTGTGTTCACTGCCCACTTACAAGTGAGAATGTGCTAAACCCAGTATCTTTTTTTTTTTTTTTTTTTGAGAGAGAGTCTCCCTCTGTTGCCCAGGCTGGACTGCAGTGGCGCAACCTCAGCTCACTGCAACCTCCGCCTCCCGATTCAAGCAATTCTCCTGCCTCAGCCTCCTGAGTAGCAGGGATTACAGGCACCCACCACCACGCCTGGCTAATTTTTGTATTTTTAGTTAAGACGGGGTTTTACCATGTTGGCTAGACTGGTCTCGAACTCCTGACCTCAAGTGATCCACCTGCCTGGGACTTCCAAAGTGCTGGGATTACAGGCGTGAGCCACCAAGCCTGGCCAAACCAGTATCTTCTTAAAGTGCTGGATCAATGTCGGTTTATTTCTTCCTCCTCGGATCTTTTCATTTCCCAGAAATCACCCCTGAGGTCTCCATTGCCTACAAAGTCCTGGAGGTTTTCCCCAAAGGCCGCCGGGTGCTCATAACCTGCCATGCACCGCAGGCACCGCCGCCTGTCACCTACTCCCTCTGTGGAACCAAGAACATCAAGGTGGCCGAGAAGGTGGCGAAGACCCACGAGCCAACCTCCTTCAGCCTCAACATCACACTCAAGTCCAGTCCAGACCTGCTCACCTACTTCTGCCGGGCGGCCTCCACCTCGGGTGCCCACGTGGACAGTGCCAGGCTGCAGATGTACTGGGAACTGTGGTCCAGTGAGTGTGGTGGGGGGCACGGGGCTGAGGAGGCAGGTGAGGTGCAGATCAGTGGGGAGCCCCAGGAGCAGGAATTCTGAACTTTGCTGGGGATAGAAAGAGCCGGGGCGTGAGGATGTGGACGAGGACAGGCTGCCACTTCCAAGGCCACTCTCAGCTCCTTCGGGCCTTTTCTCAGGGCTTGCCGTTCCTGGCTGGGGGCTATCAGGGCACAGTCTCCTGGCAGGGGCCTGAGGGCACAGTGGGAAAGAGCCCAACGGATGGCAGAAATGACTGGACCCCAGTTGTCAGCTGAATCTCAAGGTGATAAACTAGGCACGTTTGGCTGGGCACGAATCTCAGCACTGTGGAAGTCCGAGGTGGGCTGATGGCTTGAGACCAGCCTGGGCAACACGGGAAAACCCCCTCTCTACTAAAAATACAAAGATGAGCCAGGCGTAGTGGGGTGCACCTCTAGTCCCAGCTACTCGGAAGCTGAGGCAGGAGAATTGCTTGAACACAGGAGGCGGAGGTTGCAGTGAGCCGAGATCGCACCACTGCACTCCAGCCTGAGTGACAGAGCAAGACTCTGTCTCCAAGAAAAAAAAAAAGAAAAGAAAAAAAGTTAGGCACGTTTTGTGCATTACTTCACTTGCTCCTCACTGCAGTGTCAGGGTGGGGTCTGGGACTCTGGGTCTGTAGCTATGAAAGCTAAAACTCGGGCAAGTTAGGAAAGTCGCCCCAGGCCACGTGGCTGGCAAGTGGACAAGGTGCTTTCAAACCCACCCAGACCCTGCCTTCTTCCTGTTTCCATCTTGATCGTCAGTCAGGTAACCTTCTTGGTGGGAGCCATGAGGTATGGGAACCAGGAAGTTGCCAGACCTAGGGTGGGATGAGGAAGCTCCCTATTCATTGTTTGCCCCACACCCTCAGAACACCAGGAAAAGACAGCCTAGGGGAGATGAGCCCAGGGTCTGCAATCCAACGGGTCCGGGGTTCAAATCCCTACACTTACTGCCTGGGATCTTGGGCAAGTCATTGGACCTCTGAGCTTCAACTGCTTTATCTGCAAAAGGAAAATAGTAACAGAGGCCGGTGAGGTGGCTCACGCCTATATTCCCAGCACTTTGGGAGACCAAGTGGGGAGTTTGAGAACAGCCTGGACAACAGAGTAAGACTTGATGTCTACAAAACTTATTTTTTCTTTTTTTTAGACGGTGCCTTGCTCTGTCGCCCAGGCTGGAGTGCAGTGGTGCGATCTCAGCTCACTGCAACCTGGGTTCATGCGATTCTCCTGCCTCAGCCTCCCGAGCAGCTGGGATAACAGGCCCCTGCCTCCATGCCTGGCTAATCTTTGTATTTTTAATAGAGACAGGGTTTCACCATGTTGGCCACGCTGTTCTCAAACTCCTGACCTCAAGTGACCCACCCGCCTCAGGCTTCTAAAGTGCTGGGATTACAGGCGTGAGCCACCACACCTGGCCTACAGCTATTTTTTAAAAAAATTAGTTGGGTGTGGTGGCTCATGCTGAGGTGGGAGGATCATTTGAGCCCAGGAGTTGGAGGCTGTGGTGAGCCGTGATCACACCATTGCTCTCTAGCCCAGGCAACAAGACACGCTGTTTCTAAAACAATACTAATAATAGGCCCCGCTCCAGAAGACCTATTAAATGGAAGCCTTTTAGTAGGTGGCAAGGGTGGTGTTTATTACTAATCAATAAGAATATTTACAGCATTAGGCTCAAGGCCTGGGGGATTCTAGAATCTTCATGACAGTTCATGTCCTGAAGTACTTGCCTTTCCGTAAAGAAGATGACTGAGGCCGGGCGCGGTGGCTCACGCCCGTAATCCCAGCACTTTGGGTGGCTGAGGTGAGTGAATCATGAGGTCAGGAGTTTGAGACCAGCCTGGCCAACATGGTGAAACCCCATCGCTACTAAAAACACAAGAAATTAGCTGGTAATGGTGGTGGGTGCCTGTAATCTCAGCTACTCAGGAGGCTGAGGCAGGAGAATCACTCAAACCCTGGAACCGGAGGTTGCAGTGAGCTGAGACGGCGCCACTGCACTCCAGCCCAGGCCACAGAGCGAGACTCTGTCTCAAAAAAGAAAAAAAGCCGGGCGCGGTGGCTCAAGCCTGTAATCCCAGCACTTTGGGAGGCCGAGGCGGGTGGATCACGAGGTCAAGAGATCAAGAACATCCTGGTCAACATGGTGAAACCCCGCCTGTACTAAAAATACAAAAACATTAGCTGGGCATGGTGGCGCGTGCCTGTAATCCCAGCTACTCAGGAGGCTGAGGCAGGAGAATTGCCTGAACCCAGGAGACGGAGGTTGCGGTGAGCCGAGATCGCGCCATTGCACTCCAGCCTGGGTAACAAGAGCGAAACTCCATCTCAAAAAAAAAAAAAAAAAAAGACAAGACTGAATGAATAGAGTGACAAGATAAACTTTACATAAGACATGTATAGTAAAAAATTACTCATTGTTTATTTGACATTAAAATTTAACTGTATTTTATTTGCTAAGTCTGGTGCTACACAAGAATAAACTAGGCTGGGCGTGGTGGCTCACGCCTGTAATCCCGGCACTTTGGGAGGCTGAGGCAAAAGATCGCTTGAGCCCAGGAGCTCAAGACCAGCCTGGCCGACATGGTGAAACCCCATCTCTACAAAAATTGCAAAGATTAGCTGGATGCGGTGGTGCGCACCTGTAGTCCTACCTACTCGGGAGGCTGAGATGGGAGAATTGCTTGAGCCAGGGAAGCTGATGTTGCAGTGAGCCTAGATCGTGCCATTGCACTCCAGTCTGGGTGACAGAGCAAGACCCTGTCTCAAAATAAAATAAAATAAGATAAAACCAAATGTGAAATTTTGTGGTACACAAGGCAGGTAAAGCAGCAGCCCAGAAACAAGGTGGAGGGCAAACTTTGGAAGGCAGCCTGGAGGAGGCCGCAGTCTCCCCTAAGCTCATTAGGTATTTTGTAATGCAAAGAACTTACTGGGGAGGAGGGATTTAAAACCGCGCAGACATGCCTGTGCTGCCTTCTCCCACCCTGCCAGAGCCACTGTCTGAGCTGCAGGCCAACTTCGCTCTGTGGGACAGAGGGTCAGGCCCCAGGGTGGAGGTGTCGTGCCAGGTGTCCTCGGGCAGCCCACCCATCACCTACAGCCTGGTCGGGAAGGATGGACAGGTCCACCTGCGGCAGAGACCACGCCACGGGGAGCCTGCCAATTTCTCCTTCCTACCGAGCCAGACATCAGACTGGTTCCAGTGCCAGGCTGAAAACAACATCAGTGTCCAGCACAGCGCCCTCACGCTGGTGCCCCCAGGTGAGACAGCCCTTGGATTTCCAGAGGGGCAGCTGGTGCTTCTGTGCTGCGAGGGTGCTAGTGTCCAAGAGGCAGGTCGTTGGGAGGTGGGACAGCTCTACCTGACACTGCCAAGAGCAGAGAGGGCACAGAAGGCAACCATGCCCACCCTGGCCCCTGCCTAAAGCACGCCCAACCCAGCTGCCTCCACCCCCTGCCCAGGAGAGTTGCCCGAGGCAGCTGCCATCGTGCTGGCTGGCAGCCTTGCTTCCATTGCGGCTGTCACGTCCGGGATGCTGGGCTGGACCTTGTGGACCAGGTAGGGAATGGGTGCTGGGCACAGGGAGGAGGGAGGGCTGCTGATGGCCTGAGAGGTCCAACTGGGCCCTGGCTGGGGAGCTAAGGCGGTGGGCTTGCAGGGCAAGGCTGTGGCCAGGGCAAAGAAGGACTGTCACCGCTTACACACGACTCAAAGACCTTTATGAAGGCATACTGTGAGTCACGTGCCTGCTGAGGCTTGCCCATTCAAGGCATTATCAGACCCTGGCCAATGCTCCCAGCTGCCCCGTAACGGAGTCCGCTGGCCCCTTGAGGGGGACACTCTCCTAAGTTCTTTTTTGTTTTTTGAGACAGAGTCTCACTCCATCACCCAGGCTAGAGTGCAGTGGCATAATCTGGCTCACTGCAACCTCCGCCTCCCAAGTTCAAGCGATTCTCATGCTTCAACCTTCCAAGTAGCTGGAATTACATGTGTACACCACCATACCCGGCTAATTTTTATATTTTTAGTAGAGATGGGGTTTCCCCATATTGGCCAGGCTGGTCTTGAACTCCTGAGCTCAGGTGATCTGCCTCCCAAAGTGCTGTGAGCCACCATGCCCGGCCTCACCTAAGTTTTTAATGGGGTCTGAGCAGGGATACGGGATTGATGCCTCCAGGAGAGCGAGGTGGACCAGGAGCTCCTGCCTTCTGTGAGAGCCACATTGTGCAGTCTTTCCCGGGTAGAGGCAAGAGGCTGGGGTCCAGCCTCCTAGGGTCCTCTCTCCAAGGCCATGGCTGTACTGACGTGTAAGGTGACCAGGGCCTTTGTGGTTTCTGAGCACAGGCACCGCAGGCCTGTGTCTCCCGCAGGCCAGCCCTGCCTCTGTGAAGTCGCTTCTTTGTTTGGAGCTGTGTCTTGGTTCTCATCCTCCGCTTGTGGCCAGCCCCTTCCGTGGCTCTGCCAAGAATCTGTCCTTGGCACTCTCCTGTCTCACTTCTGGGTCCCTTCCTGCCAAGTCTGTTCTTACCAGGAGCCAGACTGATGGGTGAACCCTGTCTCACTAAGCCTCGGTTTTTCCTTCTGTAAAATGGTATACAGCCTTAATTTAGTGGGGTGAGTAAGCCTCATGCCTCTCATGCTGGGGCACTAATGTGCCTAGCACCATAAAACTCCCAGAGGCAGGCCAGGCACAGTGACTCACGCCTGTAATCCTAGTACTTTGGGAGGTTCAGGCAGGCGGATCACCTGAGGTTAGGAGTTCAAGACCAGCCTGGCCAACATGGTAAAACCCCGTCTCTACTAAAAATACAAAATTAGCCAAGCGTGGTGGCATGTGCCTGTAATCCCAGCTACTCGGGAGACTGAGGCAGGAGAAGTGCTTGAACCCAGCAGGCAGAGGTTGCAGTGAGCTGAGATCGTGCCATTGCACGATCTCGGCCTGGGCAAAAAGAGTGAAACTCCACTCAAAACAAACACTCCCAGAGGCCTCGGGAGGGGATGGCTGGGAGGTGAGCCTGCCTGAGCTAAGTCTTTACTGCTTTGTCATCAAGGTCGTGACCAGAAGATGCAGGACTGCCAAGGCCTCTGGAGTGCCCATCCTTGCCTTGCTGCCCTGCAGGAGCACCCACCGTCTGAAGGGGAGCCTGGAGGGTTTTCAGGGTAGGGAATGGGGAGGTCAGAGGACACAAAGCAGCAGCCATATAGAATGAGCTGTCCAGAGAGCCAAGCACGACAGGACTGTGGACCATCAGAATGTACCGTCTGGATTTCAAATTCATGCGAAATGAGTGTGTTTTAGTGGCTCTTGCCACATAAGAGGTGGTGGATATGTTAATGTGCTTCACGATCGGAATCTTTGTGCTGTCTATATAAATTCCGTAATGTCAGGTTGTCTACCTTAAATGAACAAAAGAACATTTATTTTAAAAAAAGAACAAAGAGGCCCGGCACAGTGGCTCACGCTTGTAATCCCAACACTTTGGGAGGCCAAGACGGGCGGATCACAAGGTCAGGAGTTCGAGACCAGCCTGGCCAACACAGTGAAACCCCGTCTCTACTAGAAATACAAAAATTAGCTGGACACGGGGGCACGGGCCTGTAATCCCAGCTACTCAGGAGGCTGAGGCAGGAGAATTGCTTGAACCCAGGAGGCGGAGGTTGCAGTGAGCCCAGCATCACTGCACTCCAGCCTGGGCAACAGAGCTAGACTCTGTCTCAAAAAAAGAAGAAAAGAAAAAAAGAAAAGAAAAGAGCCTGCCAGCTGGGATTCTTGGACCCCTGGTGGCCTTCAGCAAATGTGGACAGCGTTGGTGTGAGGGCTTGAGGAGGATCACAGAAAGGGGGTGGTCTGTGTGGCCCTGTCTTCGCCACTGAGGTGCTGCCACATCTCTGCAGGTGTGGGGAGAGAGACACGGACACACTGGGAAAAGGCCCAGCCCCCCACATGCCTGCTCCCCTCTTCCCTGGAGGGGCACCCCACCTCCTCGTGGCCCAGAAGTCTGGTTCAACTCTCCCATGGTCCAGCTCACCTGGGTGGACTCTGAGCCTCAACCTGGCACACCTGCTCTTCTTAATCTGCACCTGCAACTAACAAGGGGGGTCTGGAATTCTTCGGGCTCAGTCAGCCTGTGACCCCACACCTGTCTCTACAGCCTCCACTCCCACTCCAACACGCAGAGCCTGCCCCAGCCTTCCCTGCACCGGACCCTCTGTACCGGCTTTTCTTGGGATGGAGGTGGAGACGGATGGAAGCAAGAGGGGGCTGGAACTGGATTAAACTTTGCTCCCGGCCCATCGCCCTGAAAACTTCCTTTTGGTTTGCACGCTGCCCTCTTTTTTTTGATACAGGGTCTTACTCTGTCACCCATGCTGGGGTGCAGTGGGTGCAACCTCTGCCTCCTGGGCTCAGGCGATTCTCCCACCTCAGCCTCTGGAGTAGCTGGGATTAGTAGCTGCCACCACACCCGCTGACTTTTGTTTTTGTTTTTTGAGACAAAGTCTCCTCTGTCGCGCAGGCTGTATTACCTGTCTGTAATCCCAGCTACTCTGGGATTACAGACATGTGCCACCACGCCCAGCTAATTTTTTTTGTATTTTTAGTAGAGACAGGGTTTCGCCATATTACCCAGTCTCGAACTCCTGACCTCAGGTGATCCACCCGCCTCAGCCTCCCAAAGTGCTGCGAATACAGGCGTGAGCCAGGGCTCCCGGCCTTGCACACCATCTTAAGTGTGAAGCCGCACGGCCCTTCACAGCCTTGGGGCTCCTCCCAGACCAGGAGGAATGGGGACGGGGTCTTTGACCCCGCCATAGGTTCAGCCCCAGAGAGGAGGAAAGAGTGGCAGGCCAGGCAGGGAGGGGTCTCCAGGGTGTGGCCTGGGTTTTTCAGTGGGATGGGGGAGGGGGTGCTTATGAGCCTGGGTGGGTTCTTGGGAGGTGGTGGGCTTCCTGGAGGAGGCGGCGGGAGGGCAGGGGCAAAGGGGGTGTGCGGTCCTCCGTCCGTCCCTCTTCCTGGGGTACTCTTTCTGGTTGTGCGGCGGCCGGAGTAGCCGGGGGAGGAGACCCCCGACCCGGAGGTGGGGTGGACACAGGTGCTCCGCGGCCGGAGCCCCTCCCGGCCGCTAGAAGCGCAGTCCCGAGGCCCGCTCGTTGCTCGTGAGGGCCGCACTTTGCCCTCGGTCCCTGGCGGCGCCTGGCCACGCCCCCGGCGGGCGGGGGGGGGCGGGGCGGGGCGCCGGCAGGTTTCTCGGCGTTCCGCGGCGGCGGCGGCAGCGGCGACGGCGACATGGAGAGCGGGGCCTACGGCGCGGCCAAGGCGGGCGGCTCCTTCGACCTGCGGCGCTTCCTGACGCAGCCGCAGGTGGTGACGCGCGCCGTGTGCCTGGTAAGCCCGGAGAGAGAGGGCCGGGGCGCCCCAGGGACCCCCCGCCCCGCCGCCAGGCCCGGCAGGGCCCCGAGCCCACGAGCGCGACAGGTGGCGGCGGCCGCGTCCCGGGCCTGGCGGCGGGGGGGCCGGCGTCCAGCGTCCCGAGCCCCGCCTTCTCGCCCTCCACAGTCGGTCCCGCTGTCCCCTCCGGGTCGTGGGGCCCGCCACCCACTCCACCCCCAGCCCCGCGCCCCGACGCGGGGTGTCCCGAGGCTCCGCAGGGAGTCCCGAGGCTCCGCAGGGAGCGGGCCCTTGCCCCGCTGGCAGTGGGAGGAGCTTGGGGGCAGCTCCAGGACAGGTGGCCCCGCACGCCCCGACTTCCAGCTTGGGGAGTTCACCAGCATGGGGCTTTCCGAAGCCACGTGGGTGAGGGAGGGGGCAGGGGGTGACCCCACGCCCTGAAACAGGGTCTCCTTCCCACTCGGAGCAGGCAGCTTCTCCCTCCCACCCGAAGTTGAGGGACCCCAAGATGTACCTCCTCTTTATAAGCTGGGAAATACCTCCAAAACCAGGTTTTGGGGGGCCTGTTTTTGGATAGCTAGCGCTGACAGCGGGAGGAGGTGTCGTGAGGGGCAGACAGGCGGGCCTGCTGTACCCAGACCATGCCTGGGACTGGAGCTTCTGAGGCCTCCCAGGGCGCCCACACACCCTCCCAGCCAGGCTGTGGGGTCTGACCGCCTCTGTCCTGGGCTGTGCCCAAGAATCAGGTGCCCAGTGGGTCGGGATGGCAGTGCCAGGAGTCCTGGATGGGCACCCTGCTCCCAGCATCCCGGAGGTCTGGCTTCGTCTCCAGCTGGGGGCGGGGCCTGTGACTGCCAGCTCCAGAGCCCTATGGAGAGCTCCCTGGGATGGCTGGGGAGGACTGGCAGGGGAGAGGCCTGGGGCCATCCCAGAGGGAGCCTGATGCCCACAGACCTGTCGCACACCTGCTGAGGTGGAGCAGGCATGGGTGGTGCCCTTGAAGTCTAGGGAGGCGGCATGGGGCTCTTCCCAAGGGGCTGGAGCCCCCTACACTCACCCTGGGTTCTCCAGGGGCCTGAGTTCAGAGCTGTATCCACAGGCCTGAGTCAGGCCCCTTGGAGTGCCTTGTGCGCGCAGGACCCTCTGTGGGATGGGAGACAGACTGGGCTCTCTCAACCAGGAGGGACCAGGGTGCCACAGAGACTGGAAGTCCTTGTGTGGAGACAGCTGTCTGGGCTGAACCAGGAAGGGATTAGAGGGAGTTCCAGGAGGTGTAGACACAGGGCACTGGCATGGCCTTCCCAAGAGGGCCTCCCTACCTTCACCAGGGTGTTCCGGCAGAGGCTGGGCGCTGTAGAAGTGACTTGGGCCAAAGGTGTCGGGGGCTGGCTGAGACTCTGTGGCTTGGTGGCCTGTCTTGTTTAAACCTCTTTCAAGGTGAGGTTGGGCTAGGGGTGGAAGGACTTCCCTTCATCCATCAGGTACCTAAGCAGGATGAGTCCTGCAGGGAGGCAGCTGGAGCAGGAGCTGCCCCAGTCTAGGTCCCTGCCCATTCCCCACCCCTCCCCCATCCAGGATTTCCAGGGACAGGCCCCTGGTGCCGGGAGAGTCTGATCTCCGGGTGTACCAGGAAGCACTTTACTCACCAGCTCACCTCCACAAGTACGGAGGGGCTGAGATGCCAGCCTCCAAAAGGGTACAGCAGGCCAGGTGAAGTGGCTTATGTCTGTATTTCCAACACTTTGGGAGGCGAGGTGGGCAAATCACCTGAGGTCAAGAGTTGGAGACCAGTCTGGCCAACATGGTGAAACCCTGTCTCTACCAAAAATACAAAAATTATGGCTGGGCGCAGTGGTTCACACCTGTAATCCTAGCACTTTGGGAGGCCAAGGCAGGCAGATCACCTGAGGTCAGGAGTTCAAGACCAGCCTGACCAACATGGTGAAACACCGTCTTTACCAAAAATACAAAATT